GTTAATCATCATTTGATGATAATGAAAATGCAATATTCATCAAAAACACTTCAAGAGTTTAAAAACAGATCTAATTTTAAAAATATAAATTTATAGATTTTTCAAAAAAAATGTTTTTATTGTATTTCTTAGTCAAATTTTACTTATGAGATGATTACTTGTCTTTAAAAGCATTGACAAAAGTATCATTACTGCCAAATAACAAGAGAATCAACCATTTCAAAACGTTCACTCAAAAACAGAAAAAAAAGAACTTAAAAGTCTAAGATGGACATCGATTTCACTGTAATTCATTTGTATTAGATATCCATCATACGACAAAGAAAATTTGATTGAATTGCAATAAAATCAAAACCGATTTCTAATTTTAATTTAAATTTTATACTTGCTAATGTGAAAATGTTCGGTGAGAAAACGAAAATGAGTAGTACATTGAGTACTCGCTGGGTGAGTATTTCCATCGGAGATATTGATTGCGGATCAGCACTCGAAACATCTCCTTGTTTTTTGCTGATTCTTATGATTTAAAATCAAATAATTTAAATGTTCTCAAAAAAAAATCGATATGTTCATTCTCATGAAAATGTCAAACAATGATTTAGAGTAAACAACATTGTCATGGACTTTTAGGAACGTTGATAGTACTTTTTATCCAATGTTTTTTATGAAAAGATGCACTCTTTGACGCTCTAAAACAAACTATATAAAACTCATGTTAGGTTCTTGAAAAATAACTATATCACAGAAGCAAGAAGGATAGAAGGGAGCATACACATAGAATAGACTAGAAAATGGCCTTTCCTTTAAAAATTGATATAATTTCATAAATAAAAACAATCTAAAAATTATAACTTTTGATAGACCTCTATTTTTGAATCAAAATAATCAGATCGTCGAACTATTAGAAGGTATAGGATGAGTGTAAGTGTGGATGTTATGATCAGGATCCTTTATGCACTAGTCATCTGATACCGACATCCTTCGAATCTTAATCTGCTAGTGCCTACAAATGTGGCATTAAAAAATTGCTAGCAAGATGAGTGAAGATTATCGAAAATATAGACGATTATATTGTTGATTGATGCTATATATCTTTCTCGTGAAATAAGTTTGTCGGTGAAGAAAAAGACATGCGGAACTTGTAGTCGAATTTAATATAAAATATATGACATCTTGAAGTGTTTTTTTATTTTATTATTTTTCTCAAAACCTAAGTGCAGAATAAGAAAGGATCATTTAATGGATAGACGAAACGAGTTTAACATTGAATATGGCATAGAAATAGAATGAGTTTGGATGTACAGCTGAAACGAAAGTCCTCACTTTAATCTACACACATTTTACATCCACCTATTCACATGCACACGAATAAATGTTTCGTTTTTCTTTGCAAAAGTTCTTCCATTTTACAAAAGCAACACATTTCTTTCTCTTTTTCTAAGTTTAATGTTTTTAAATAATCTATTTGCATTACATGAAATGCATGCAATAACGTTAAGGCTATAACAACACCTACCACTTCACAATGCATACATGTGAAGTTTATTTGCATTTATCTTCACGATAAGATAAAAAGAAATGCATCTATTGTTGTCACATGGTTTAACATTTTATGATCTAAAATTTTATCTTTATTCATCATTCCTCTGAGGGCATCAAAATTCAAAAAAAATATCGATTATATTTCTGTTGAGAGAGACTATCATAAACATGCCACAACGTCAGAAAACCTGCTTCCAAATTGTCCCTCACCTTTCTTCTATGTAAAACTCCATCATCATTTATCTAAATCCACGTTTAAAATGTACCATTAAAGCTCTCAAAGAGAAAAGGATCTCATCGAATCGATCAAGGTAAAAAAAAGAATGGAATTGTCTTTCATCAGAATCAAAGAGAAGATTTCATCATTCACAAATTCGAGTATTATGTTTAATTTCATTTAGAAATATTTATAGATTAAGCTTGATGAAATGGGAAATTTAAATGGGACATCAACTATAAAAAGAAACTATGCGAACAAGAAAAATAATATTCAATATTGTGAAAACAAGATTGTTCAGAATATTATTCTCATTTGGTTAGATGCAAACATTAGCAAATCAGGAAAAGATTTCCAGTATACTTTTTCTCAACTAAATAAGATCTTTAATTCAATTACATTACTTACTGATTTGGAAGCATGTCGTCAATTTATTGAAACGAAAAGAGATGAACAAATATTTCTTATTGTATCTGGAAGATTTGGAAAAACATTAGTACCACTTGTTCATAAATATGTTCGACTCGATTCCATCTATGTATTTTGCCGTATACCAGAAAATCACAACTGGACAAAACAATGGGATAAGATAAAGCTTGTTGTTAAAGATATTGAACCTATTTGTCACGCAATTGTAAGTGATGCTGCGCAATGTGAAGAAGATTTAACTCCAACTAGTATTCTGTCGGCGAACGATTCTTCGAATCAAGATTTACAACAAGTTGATTCATCATTTATGTATTCACAACTGATAAAAGACATTCTACTCCAAATGACCTATGATGAACGAGCAATAGGTGAACTTGCTGAGTTTTGTCGAAATAATTTTCATGAGAATTTATCTGAATTAAAAATTATTGATGAATTCCAAAAAGATTATCATAAACATTCACCTATCTGGTGGTATACTCGTGAATGTTTTACTTATCGAATGCTCAATTGTAGTTTGAGAACTTTCGATATTACCCTTATTGCTCTGATGGGTTTCTTTATGAAAGATATTCATCAACAAATCAAAGAAATACATTCGAAAAAACATAACAAAATGGGACCATTTATCGTTTATCGAGGACAAGGCATGCTTAATGACGAATTTATTAAAATACATAATAATATTGGTGGTCTACTTGCATTCAATAGTTTTCTTTCTACAAGTGAAGATTTAAGTATCGCGACGACGTTTGCAAACAGATCTACAAGTCGAGCCGGTAAAACTGCTATTCTCTTTGAAATAAAAGTTGATCCAAGTTTAACATCAACTCCATTTGCTTCGTTATATAATACTGATCGTTGTTATGAAAAAGAAAAAGAGATTCTTTTCTCCATGCACACTGTTTTTCGAATCGTTCAAGTCAAAGAGTACAAGGATAATATATGGAAAGTCAACTTGAAATCGGTCAGTAATAACGATTTACAAATTACACGATTAACTGATCATATCAAACGACAAATTGGTGAAGGAAATGCTATAGAACGATTAGGTCGATTAATGATTACATTAAGCGAACTTGAAAAAGCTGAAGCATTCTATGAACTATTACGTGAATCAACTTCTGAAAATGATAAAAAAGCATTTGCTTGGATTCATAATCAATTAGGATATATTAAATATAAACAAGGAAATTATTCAGGTGCTGAACCATTTTATACAAAGGCATGTGAAATTCAAGAAAAAATGCGTCCTTCTACTGATCTTGATCTAGCGGTTACTTATAGTAATATGGGTTTGTTGTATACAAGTTTAAATGACCCTTCTAAAGCATTATCATATCATCAAAAAGCTCTTGAAATACGAAAGAAAACTCTCGAAGTTAACCATCCGGATCTAGCTACTACTTATAACAATATTGGACTTGTATATGATCAAAGACATGAATTTTCAACTGCTTTATCATATTATGAAAAGACACTGAAAGTCTATACACAAATTCTTCCTGTAAACCATCCTTGGTTAGCTATAACTTACAAAAATATTGGTCTTGCTCAAATATCGATGAAAGAACGTATGACTGGACTCAATAATCTTTTCAAAGCAATGGAAATACGCAAAGTGGCCTTTCCTTCTAATCATCCATCAATAGCTTCTATATGTGGTACCATCGGTGAAGTATATCGAGAAGCAGGAGACTACACTACTGCACTTAAGTTCTATGAAGAAGCATTAGATATCGGGAAAAGAACTTCTGATGTTGATTATACACGTTTGGCTAAAACTTATTACAACATGTCGAGAATATTGAGTGAACTCAAAGTATATGAAAAGGCTGTAAAGCATGCCGAGCTTGCTGTTGAATCGGTTAAAAAGTCGTCAACGCCAAATAGTCCCGATGCAATAGAGTTTAAGAAAAACTTCGAACAACTTCAACGAAAAAAATCATGACTCCATTTTATCTACACTATCTTTAAAAACATGTGTGGATATGAATGTCAATCTTCTAATCCAGGCATCAACACTCTCTCCAGGCAAAATTCTTGAATTCTTTTCTAAATTTTTTTTTTGTTGAAACTTCTGACCGCTTGTTTTGATTCAATTGTAGTTCCTTTGTACATCAACATGATTATCTTCTCTCGCTATTATTTTATAATTACTATAAGCATTTCAATAGAATACACGAAAAACTAAAAGATACATGCATTAAAAAAAATACACGCCTTTTTACATAGAATACAAAAAAGAAGAAATAAACAACATTTACAATAGTAAATAAAAAGCAGAAACGTACGTAATATTAAACATAAGAAAAATTAACTGTCATTGAGTGGTGATGAATAGTTAATGTTCAGACGTCCATATATATATATGTGTGTGTGTACACAGATATCAAGTATACTATTTGTCTTTCAATATCAGTTAAGAATCTTGTAATAAAAAACAAATACACATAGTTTCAACTTCAATATAAAAAAATATCTTTCCTGATCAATCAAGAAAAACAAGAAATAACGTCGACTAGTGTCCTCTCTGATGCACATTGACTAGCTTGTGATATTGAGTTACTGATAAAAATAAAACGAAAAGACCATATTGCATCCTATCATAAGCAACGAACAGGTAATATGAAAAAATAAAGTACATATCATCCTTGTTCTACTATCATAAGACATGATATTTTGACCTTCAGATTAATATTTATTTTAAAACAAATTTCATACAAAATAAAATCAATACTTCTTTTTTTTTTCTGTGTGTATAACAACGATATTTATATCATTATAATAAAATTTTGTTTTAATTTCACATATGGACTACAAATCATCAGTTCAAAACAACGAAAAAAAATTATCTATTAGTACACATGATAATGAAAATAAAGAAAATATAACACTTATTTGGTTTGATCCAAATATTGAATCATATGAAGAGATTGAAAAAATTAAAAATCAACTTCGTCTTATTAATGATTATGTTATTGTTTGTACTGATTTTGAACAATGTATTAGATATATTGAATCTATTCATAGAGAAAAAATCTTTTTAATTATATCAAATTTAATAACATTAGAAATTTTACCACAAATTAATTCTTTTATTCAAATTGATTCAATTTTTATTTTTTCTATTAAAAAAGATCAAGATAAAAATTTATTAAATGAATATAGAAAAATAATTGGAATTTATATTAATTTTGATGATTTAGTTCAATCAATAAAAGAAGAAATTGATTTTATTAATAATCAAATAGAAACATTTTGTATATTTGATCAATATCAAATTTTAACAAAAGATTTATCAAAAGAATCAGCAAAATTTTTTTTATTTCAATTATTTAATTATGTTTTTCCTCATCTTCCACAAAATGAACAAACAAAACAACATATTATTCAATTATGTAAAGAATATTATCATGGAAATACAAAAGAAATTAAATTAATTAATGAATTTGAAGAAAATTATCAAACACAAGATGCTATTCATTGGTATTTAAAACAATCATTTATATCTAAATTAATTAATAAAGCATTAAAAATAGAAGATATTGATTTTTTATATCAATTTCGATTTTTTATTAATGATCTTTCTCAAAATCTTCATGATCAACATGAAAAAATTTTATTATCAAATGAAACAATTTTAAATGTTTATCGAGGAATGAAACTTAATAAAGAAGAATTTAATAAATTAAAAGAAAATCAAGGAAAACTTATTTCTATAAATGGATATTTATTAACTAATCAACAAAAATCAAAAGCATATGATTTTGTTAATAAATCAACTAAAAGACTTGATATTATTTCTATTATTTTTCATATACAATGTGATATAAAAAATCTTAATAAAAATATTATTTTTGGTAATATTAATCAATCAAATAATTATTTCAATGAACAAGATATTTTATTTGATTTAAATGCTTGTTTTCAAATTGAATCTATTAATGAATATCAATCAATACAAATAATTAAAATGAATCTTTCAAATCAAGGACAAATAATTACAAATAATTATATTGATTTAAAACAAAAATATAAAGAAGAAAGAAGTATTTCAATTGTTTTTGGTAGATTATTTTGTAATTTAGGAGAATATGATAAATCCCAAAAATTTTTTCAACATTTATTTCATGATTCAAATGATGAAGATCGTGCATGGATTGAATTTAATATTGGTCGTGTTCTTTCTTTTAAACGTGAATGGAATCAAGCTCGAATATATTATGATCATGCATATGAACGTATGATGAAACATAAACCACCACGAATAAAAGATTCAGCACATGTTCTTAATAATATTGCTTGTATACTTCCTAATCAAGGAAAATATGATGAAGCACTTGATTATCATCAACGTGCATTAGAAATTCGTGAAAAATTTTATCCATCTGATCATATTGATATTGCTCAAAGTTTATATAATATTGGTCGTATACTTGATCATCAAGAAAAATATGATGATGCTTTTGAATATTATCAAGGTGCATTAAAAATTCAACAGAAAATTTATCCATCGAATCATGTTAATATTGCTAGAAGTCTTAGTAATATTGGTATTATTCTTTATCGACAAGGAAAATGTGATGAAGCTCTTGATTATCATCAACGTGCATTAAAAATTCGAGAAAAAATTTATCCATCTGATCATATTGATATTGCTTATAGTCTTAATAATATTGGTATTATTCTACGTAATCAAGGAAAATATAATGAAGCTCTCGATTGTTATAAAAAAGCATTAAATATTGAAGAAAAATTTTATCCATCGGATCATGTTGATATTGCAAAAAGCCTTAGTAATATTGGTAATATTCTTTCTGATCAAGAAAAATATCAAGAAGCTCTCGATTATTATCAACGAGCATTGAAAATTGAAGAAAGATTTTATCCATCTGGTCATGTTGATCTTGCACATAGTTTGAATAATATTGGTATTTGTTATGAAAATCAAAATCAACGAGAAATGGCACTTAATTATTATCAACATGCATTGATTATTTATGAAAAATATCTTCCTATTGATCATCCACGTCGACAAAAAACTGAACATAATATTCGTCGACTTACTAAAAGAAACTCATTCAGTAAATGACACAATACGAAATTTTAATATTTGAGATAAAGATTTTGTTATAGTGTTATTTATAATTGTGAATATTTGACAACATATAGAGATTAAATTTTCTGTATTAAATGATGATCGAGATTGATAAAAAAAGAAAAAGGAAACTTGGCATCATGATAAAGGTTTATTTTTCTTGTGAATTAATTGTGAGAAAAAATTAATTTAATTTACTTAGTTATAAATATTGAAAAATTAAGTTGAAATCGACTGTTGTTTTTTTTTGATCCAATTATTAAATTGCGTTGAAAAGAATGTTTTTTTTTTGGAAATGAAAAAGGTTTTTCTGTAATATTCATTTTCATAAAGTATGTTTTTTTTGCATTTAATTACAAGTTTTTATTGCACTTTGTTGTAAAAATTTAGAAAATCTTATTCAAATAAAATTAAATCATAGCCCGTTCTATAGATAAATTATTTTTAGGAATGGGCAATAATGGATAATTAAAAATCAATTGGACTAGAGTTTTTTAAAGCTAATATCATCACAGAAATTGATATTTATTGAATAGTAGTTCATGATCCTCAAGTATGAATCGAGTTCGTTCGTGTGCTTCTGTATTCAAGAGGACTAGAGTTAAGATTTTAAATAGTATCAACAACAAATTTTATACCGAATTAAAGTATGTCAAAAAAGTGAGATTTATTATTAATAAAAAGTAAGGATCATGATAATTTTTCAGTGTTTTCTAGAATTGAACGGCATCTCAGCATAGAAAAATTTCTTTCATTCGAGAGTTCAAACTAGATCTGATTTATAATGCGAGAAATATTCGAAGTAATCGAAATCTAGTCTGAAAATATTGAAATAATAATAAAAACTATGAGAGATGGACATGAACTTTTATCATTTCAAAATTCTAAAAATAACATATTTCATATCTTTTGAAAAACACAAAAGCAAACATTGCATTATTTGAAATTGTTTTATCACGGGACTTGTTTGGTCTTCGTGATGTAACAAACACTAATGTCTGCCATACAAATTATTGATTATATTCATGAAATTTTTGGAAAAGTAACTATTACTTCCTAGAATTTATCATCCTAAATCAGGTCTAGTTTGAACTACCTAATGTAATAATTTATTCTATGTCTAGATGCCGTTATATTCTAGATATTTCATGAGTTCAACACCAAAATGTTACCATAATCCTAACTATGATTACCAATAAATCCTGTTTTTGATGCGCTTTAATTCGGTATAAAACTTGTTGTTGATACTCTTTGAAATCTAGGCGCTAGCCTCCCTGGAATAATATTATTTCCTACTCTGTATGTGTATCAAGATTTTTCGGCATTAGACAATTAGTGTCACTTTAAAAAAAAATCCCATAGGTACTTGCTTTTAAATTTGCAAGCTATTGCTCAATAACCTATACGACAGTGTACACTATGCAGAGATCAAAGTCCAGTCAAAATCACTCCGAATTGTTTCCTACAAAGTGTTCACTATTTAGTAGATTTTTTTCTCTTTCCCGTACAACAAAGTTTATGTGAGTCTAGACAATCTATTCAAAAATCAATCAGAAGCATCTTTTAACGCATCATAATGTGACAAAACTTAATTATAAAAATATCGTCTCGAAAACAGAAACGCTACATTGGACACGTAACGTTGTCATGGATAAATCAAGGAAAAAAAAATAATTTCGATTTTTATTTTATGTTTATTTATTTAACAATAAATAACAAGACAAAAAAAGATACTTTAACAAAAACTATACAATAAAATGCAAAAAACATGAACATGTCTCTGACAAAAGTATTTCTAATTTTATTTCTTCTGATGTCAATAGATTTTGTAGTTTCATTTTGTACAATATAAGGTGCTTCAAGTTCTAATTGTCCGTCATCTGTTAAATGTGATTGTAATTGATCCATTTGTGTACCAGATGGTAATGTTGTTGATTTAAAGAAGAAGGATCGTTCTGAACAATTCTTATCTTTATGTTGATGTTCACCTTGTACAATTAATTCATTATTTTTAACTGATACTTTTATTTCATCTGGTCGAGAATTTTTCATTTCAATTGATATTTCAAGTTGTTTTTGATTATTACCTTTATCAATAATACGTGGTTGAAAATCTGAACCAACTAAAAATTCAATATAATCAAATAATGGATCACGATATTAACCAAATTGTGCTAAACTTTGATTATCATTTTTTGCTTGAGCAACACGACGTTCTATTTCTGAATTATGAATAGGTACTTCAATGACAAGCATATTATTTGGTGTTACATATGAAGCTAAATGTTTTGAATCTATATGAAATTAAAAAAAGAAAATATTGATGAATATAAACGTTTGATAACAAAAAAAAAATGATTTTTTTCTACTTACCAGCATGTTTAGGTAATTCATAGGTTTTTCATAGTTCTCGAATATTATAATCCCCATCCGGTTGACGATCTTCTTGTTTGGCTTCGACAATAACTTTTCGACCCTGAACTTTTGTTTTAATTGTTTCTGGATTAAAATCCGCTACGTTGAATTGAACACAATATTTTTCAGGATTTGGCGATTGTGATGTTGGTGTAAGATTTTTACTATCATTTGATTGATTACTTGATGAATGTGTTAATCGATATGGTTCATTGATTCATCGAAAAGCATTTGGTCGAATAGAAAGAGCTGATGAAAATGTATCAAAATCATGCCATGGATCGAAGAAATCTAATTGATCACCAAAGAATCTATCAAATGGATCGTCAAATAGACGATAACGATGAATTGGAAAGAATGTCATAGATTTGTAGAAGACGAATTGTTGAGAGAGTTTGATAATCGCAGTTGAACGTTAAAATATCTGATTAGACCCATGCACTCACACATATAACTCAAACTTTCGGTAACAATATTTTACTTTTATCAGAAACTTTAATATAACTAATTAAGCATCAATAAAAGCAGATGATATATATATATCAATGAACGTGAATGAGAAAAAGATCATGAGGATATCAATCACTAAGACAAAGGATATACAAGTGTTCTATATTGTTTTAATCGAATTGTGATTTTGCAATATTTAGGAAATGAAGGACCTATGGATAGACTTGTTCTTTAAATGCTAGCAATGAAACATTCTACTTTTCTCTTGAATAAATTTGTTATAAGATAATGATAATATTGTATTTTCAAATGCACACATTTTGTTATTCACAAAATAAATAAGAAAGTAAGATTTTTCATAAAAATGTGAATATCTTTAGTTGACAGGACTGACTGAGTAGAACTCTTCTGTTGATTACATATCATACTTGCTATATTTCACGAATAGACTATGATTATGGCAATAGAAAAAGTATAGATTAGTAATGTGTATATCAGTAAGTATAAAATAGTACGCGAGTTTTAATTATACAGTAAGTTCAATTGATGCGAAAAACAAATTAAGTAAACTTCTATGTTTGTTGCTTGACTTGAAAATTATTTAATAAAAATAAATTCTCTATTCGCTTGTATAAATATAATAAAATTTATTATATATAATCGTTGAATTAGTTAGTACATAAAATGAATTTATTATTTCAAATTGAATAATTCATAATGGTCAAATGTTTTCCAAAATAAAAATCAAGATTTAATATTATTTTATTTGTAAAGAGAGTAGAAAAAAAAACAAACGGGGCTAAATAAACTATTGAAAAAGAAAAATGTTCAAATTAGTTCTAAGAATAAATTTCATCGAACTGTCATCATTCTTTGTCGTTCAATATTATCAACAATAAGAATTTCTTTCTTTGCTTGTACTGTTTTTTCACCAACATAAGGTACAGATTCTGGATGATCAATATGATATTGTCGTTGTGCTTTTGTTTTTGTCCAACGATCTTGAAGATCAATTAATTTCCATTGTTTAATACGTCCATCTGATGTTCGACCAAATCTTTGATCATTATCTTTCATAGATAAAATACTTGGATCGAAACTTGATCTTGTATCTGGCAATGGTAATATTGTTTCATGAAAAGATACATCTTTATATGAATGTTGATAAGTTGAATGTGGTTCTAATTTTGGTTCAATAAAACGAGGAACAACTTCTGGACCAGGAAGACGTAAAATATTTTTAGCTGAATCTGGAAGTTGTTGAGGAATTTGTAGATATGGTGCAACTGGTGTTTGTTTTTTTTCAAAAAATTTATAAACAATCATATCGTCTTTACTTTTAAATGGTGAATCATAAACACGATTTGCCGATCGACGAGAATAACCATTTGTATGTTCAGTTATATATTTTGTTGCATATAATTCATCATATGGTGAGGGATGAATAAGTGGACCAATAAGAATATCATTGGGTTTTTCTTTATTATTATTATTATTATTATCATCATTATTATTAAATGATATATTATGTGCTGACTTCATTGGAAAGCTATTCATACTTCGTGCTCGTTCAAGATTAGTATTATATTGTGTACTCATTAAACATGTTGGATCAGAACGTGCATGATGTAATAAAGTATTTTCTTGAAGAAATTTTCGTGTATTATATGATTGACCATAAGTTGATTCACGTTGAATAAATGGTTTATCACCTTCTTGAACACGAGTATTAACAGTACTTGCATCTTGTGGAACACGAAATTTATTAAGAAGACGACTCTAAAACAAGAAAAATAACAATATATATATATATATTATTAATTATATTTAAAAAAAATTAAACAAACTCGTATAGTTTGATAATCATGAAAAGTTTTATATTGAAATAATTTTGGTTTTGATACATTTTGTGTTTGTTCACCAGAATTTAATAGATCACCAAGATGATTTTCATCTTTTAATAAATGATCATTTTCTTCTTGATTATTTTCTGATTTTTCAATATCTGGTATTGCTTGAGTTAATGCATTTGGATCATAATTAGTCGTATGATAAAGACCTGATCGTTCTTGAATATATGTACCAACTTGATCATAAAATGTATTAATATATGGATCACGATATTGTGGTAAAATTGGTCGAGCATGACGTGGATGTTGAAGAGTACGAAATTTAATATTGAGTAAATTAAGATTATCTTGTGGTCGAATAAGTTCTAATTTTTCAAGACGATTTTCAGCTTCAATTTGTTGATGACTTGCTTGATGATCGCGAGCTATTTGTGGAACACTTGCTGATGGTCGAAGATGATGTAAATATCGAATTTCAGGTTGTTGATTATTTGTATTAATAGAAGATTCGGATTGAGCTGAAAAGAAAAATTTTTTATTATGAATGTAATAAAATTTAGAAAAGAAAATAGAAGACAACCACTTTATCATCTACATATCATATGTGACGATAGCAGAAACCTACGACATACAAAAAAAGGACTCTTCCTTGAAAATCTACGAGCGAATTTTTTTCTATGAAATTCTTTTAACGTATGAAACAAAACATTCGGTATAAGAACTATGAAGCTATTTAGATTCGATTCGAATTCTTGTAGGTTTCAGTTTAGTTCTTAAGATGAAAAAAAAAACATCTTAAGTATGTATATGTTTTGTTAACTAATTAGATAATGTTTTGCTATTTAACTTACGAATCCATGTTGCTGCTCGTTCTGTTGGAAACATATGAGCTGGTAAATTTACATAATTAGTTCCATTTCGCATATGATTATCAAGTTTTTCATTTTCACTCATAACTCTAAATAAAAACAAAAATTAAATAACAATAAAAATTCATTATATTTTTACTTTGTTGTTTCTGTTGTTGAATATTGTATTGATGTTCTTTGTTTATCTAATGCACTTGGTTGTCGATGATTACCATGAATATGAATAGCTTGCATACCTTCAATTGGTCTTGCTGGATCAAGTATTTTTTTAAAATATGGTTTCTATTTCAAAATAAATGAGTTTGTTATTTTTATTTTATTTGAATAAAAAAAACTAAATTTTACTAATTGTTCATTTGGTTGACGTGATACTGCTGTATCATAGACAATATGTGTACCAAGACCTTCACCATTTGAAAAATCATTTTGATATGATGATTCAAATAAAGATTTTTCTTTATTTTTAACTATATTTGTTCCAGAATTATCAATAGAACTATCATCATTTGGTACAAATATTTTTCGTGGCCAAGGATATATTGATGATGAAGTAAGATCACTTAATGAACGAGGTAACTAAAAACAAAGAATTAAATATTTGCTGTTGATCTTTGTTATTTAAGATTACATGCATATATTGTTTATCAGGCCATTTAAAATTTCGATGCAGTTGTTGCTGTAGTCCTTGATAATGTACTTCACGACGAAATGGATTACCTTTTTAAAGGAAAATGAAAACCAACAACATTAACATAGATTTCATATATATATAACAAAATCAGCATATACGATATTGAAGTAAATAAAAGAAAGAGAACATATTAAATTATCTTACCACGAATTTTATGTGTGACAATATATGGATCCATATATGTTGAAGGTTGATCATCAATATTAACACTTGCATTAGGAAAGAGTGCTTTTTCACTAATATGTGATGAAAATGGATGATTTGATGGAAATTTTAATGGTATTTGATGAGGTGTTATATCAGTTGTATGAAGTGCTGCAGGTATTCTATAGTATTAAATAAAATTATAAGAAAAAAGAAAAGTGTAATATATATATATATAAACATACAATTCATCATTTATTCGAACATTACTCAATGTAATATCTGTATTTCGATAATTTTGTGCAATTGGTTCGCCTCTAGAATTATTGATTTATAGAATTTTGTATTTGTTTGTAAAATTCTTACTTGTAAAGAAATGTTCCTGATGGATGAGCAGAACTTGGATCATTACTCAAGGGAATACGTTTTTTACCAGTGCCCCAATCAACACCTGGTTTGATAACATCATCTGTTGCAGTTGGTTCCGAATCAAATAATACTAAACTTGTCATGGCGAACAAATGCACATTCAAAATACAATGTTGCTACTATGTTCACTTTTACTGTTCGAATAAAAAAAAAAACACAAACCTACCATGTTTCCATTACAACAGTTAATGGTGATGTTGAATAACAATTGGATTAGTTAATAGTGAGAAGAACAACGTGTACATCATCAACAACAACAACAATAGAAAAAAAATTCTAATGAAATAGATTGATTTTTGTTTCACATTTGATAGACTATTTCACAGAACATTTTAAGACAGGCATAGTTCACATTTTAATAAGGAAGCATAGAAACCATATGTAAGTCGAAAGTATGTGTAATGGTGAATGTATAACAATAATTGTCATAAGTAGTCAATTAATTTTCAACAATTCAAACAATTTAAGTTTGACTATACGCATTTGTAACTCTCAAAAACTATACGATATATCTGCATTCCCATCGGTAACAATAAAAACGCATCTTTCTCTATTGAAATTTTGTTGAAAATATTCTAAGATCATTTTCACAATGAAATCCAATATTCATATAAAACGCAGCAAAAAAAATCCATCAATAATCAAATCACAAAGCAAAGAATATTGCAAATTAATACCTTATCAATATCAAATCTTATCTTAAAAATCAATATTTGTATGTCCCTAAATGATTTTTATCTTCTGATCTATTTTTATAAATTTTATTTTCATTGAAAAATTCACAACCGGTAAATGAACAATATTTATTGTTTTTTTTTTTTTTTTCTTTTTTTGTTAAAGATAAAAATGATACAAAGCAAAGCACACATACACGCATACAAACAAAAGAAATGAAATTAAATCTTAATACATAGATGCAGACTTTTTTTATTGGATACTTAATATCGAAAGAGAAAAAAAAATTATATAAACTAACCCGCCAAATATATCACAGATAAAAACAAAAATAAGAAATCATTCTGATTTTTCTATTATGAAAATGATGGTGTCCTTGCTATTTCTTTCATATATACAGGATCATCTAATATTGATATATATGTTTTTTCAGCATCAGCATCTTCTTCTTTCATTTGTTCATGTAATGCTATTAAACGATACCATGTTATTACATCAGGATCACCAATAGCCATAGAAAGTGAACATGCATCAATACCATTATGATCTTTTAATAATGGATCAGCACCACGTTTAAGTAAAAGAATAATTGGTCTAGAAAAATAAAATCGAAAATTGATAAGAAAACGCAAATATATATATATACCCGCGTCCTTTATTTGCTAATTGTGTTGCATGATGAAGTGGTGTTTTACCATCTTCATCAGCTAAATTTACTTTTGCATTATTTGTTAAAAGAAATTCTGCAGCTGCGACTGATCTCTAGAATAAACAAAGAAATTTATTAAAAATTATAATAAGATGAGAAAAAAAAACATACGCTTAATATTGTTTGAATTAATGGTGTTCGTCCATGATCATGTTCATTATGAAAATTTTTATCAGCACCAAGAGCTAATGCATGAAGCATCGTTGGAACATTTCGATGACGAGCTCCTTCATATAAATATATATTCATATTCCATATTGCTGGTGAATTATCTTTAAATAACAAAACATTATAAAAATTTAAAGAAAAAAAAATGTCTATTTTATTACCAGTCGTTGTGTCATTCTCAGATGGTGCTGTTAATCGTCTAAAATATCAAATAAAAATTTAAAGATGAAACGTTCAACAACGAAATATTTTCAACTTTTTCTTTTAACAATAACAGTCGTAACAAATTAGAGAAAAGATTTGAGTAGTTAAAATAATCTCCTATCATAAGACGTATTTCTTAGAAAATCTGAAGTCTCAATATCATGTTTCTGGATTCGATCAAATACTTTTTCCTGAACAATGGTTTCTGATGGAGAAAATATTTCTAAGCAAACGAAAATATCGCCGAGTCTAGTACAATCCAAAAATTTGGTATTAGGAGTATAGATTAGTATGAAAAAAATAATAATAATAGTAAACCTAGTTAATAATTGTCGATTGTTGACTTTTGATGTATGTGATGTGTCATCATCATTTTCATTTTCATTATTAGCTGTTGATATTGAATTTTTCATTACAGACCATCGTTTAATAGTACGTGTTGATGAACGCATTTGATTCGATGCTGGTAATGGACGTAAAAATGCTTTTTGAACATATTTCGCTTCTATATAAGATCGACGTGTCAAACTAAAACGAGCAATATTCAACAAAGCAATAGAATTATTAATCAAGTCATACTTGAATTAGAAAAAAAAGATTTCAGTATACTCGATTTGTAATTAGAAGCCTGTGGAATAGAAGTAGGTCAGTTTTTCATTCGACTTAATTAAGTGGTTTTACTTAACACTTAAGTTTAAGTGATTGCGTTAGAACAATAATATTCAATTTCACGTTTTTTTTGTCATGCTCTCAGCATGTTGTTGTTGTCCAAGCCATTCAAGAAAGCGTTCTCGATAACCCCGTACAACAATAATTTGCACTTAAAACAGTGTAGAAAACTTTTCTCAAATTGAATTCGGTTAAAGTGGAAAAGCTTCTAGCCAATCAGAAACGACTTCTTCATTATTGTAAGAACAAAACATATTACTGTTTGAACTTTTCAAGGGTTGTCTTGTGAATAGCTCGGACATATTCGTTAAAACAAGATCATTAAAATTCAAAATTGATTAGACTTGAAGATCAATGTGAAGTCACCATGATGGTTTTAATTCAACTCAAGATCCTTAACATAATGACCTACAGGGACGAAACTTGAGTCAGGGCATTCAGCCATATAAACCAAATCATCTACTCTCTTATTCGACTCATAAAACTCAAGTGTAAAAGATTTTCTATCGATCAAACTTCAAATGAATGACTCGTAAGTTGCAATTATTCATCTTTCGGTCACCAAAAAGAAAAAAATTTTTGTAATATATATATATTAATATTCATATGAGCAAAATCTTCTCCTTCATCAAACTTGACAAAATTATTCATTGATATTTTTTTTTGAACTGCATCGAAACATTTTATTATTCTTACGGATCTGTTTCAGCATTTGGTTTTTTCATATCATTTGATATTTGTGCTTCATATATACTATTGACAACAGTATTACCCAATTCCGACATAACAATTAATGTTTCTAAATCCCATGTATCCATATGAAGTGAACGAACTTTTGAAAGGCTAACACCAAGACCACTGATTATTTTTTTAAAAAAAATCTTATTGTTCACATATAAAAAAATAAAATAAAAATGTTAAACTAACCGATGAGCACCACCACAATTTAAACAAAGTAAAATTCCTAAATTAATCGATGCCCATTCGGGTCCATCTGCATCACAATCACAACATTTTTCATTGCCAACAATTGAACGTACATATTCAATTTTATCTTTAATCCTAAATACAACCAAAAAGAAAATCGAACTTTTAGTAAAAACTTAATTTTATTTCTTTTGTTTTTTTTTTTACATTTGTTGTTTTATTTCAGTTTTAGCAGTTAAAACTGTATTTGAACGATGATTCGAGAACATTGCTGGTAATGACTACAAATGCAAAAATAATACTAATAAGTCATTTTTTTTTAATGATAACTCAAACTGCAAATGTATTTGTATTTCCATTATCTGATGATTTAAATAAATTAGTTATTGCTAATTGAAGTGAATTAATCCATTGATCACATTCAATTTGTGAATCAGCTTGAAGAAGATGTGTACTAAAAAAAAAAAAAAAAAAAAAACTTTTTGTAAAATAAATAAAGAATTAATTTGAAAAATTTCTACCTATTTGGTGAAATAATTTCAAAAACAAATCGACGATCATTATCATTCGATGGACGAATTGTACATAAACGTAAATCTGATATCATTACTGAATATGATGATTGTTGTTGAGTATTATCATTTATTGAATGTCCATTATTACGTTTCATATAGAGTAATTGACCATTACGAATTAAAAACCAACGTCTAAATCAGCAACAATATTTACTAGTGAATCAAATACGTTTCACAAATTTCCACAAAGCTTCCTAGATGAGAGATAACCAACCTCTAATTGATCCTACAGTCACTATTTAGTAGTAATTAAGTTAGTGTGCAATTTTTTTTAAACACTTATTACATTAGAAGTCAAACAAACTTAGGGTGACTCTTATAAATCATGATTACTTATACGCTATTCAACTACATCTCAATCCTATTTAGAAGTTCTTTTACGATCATGTTTTGACATTTTTTTATAATTCCATATTTGCTATCATTGATGTATACAAATGAAACGAATCCTTCCTTAAGCTTTATTCAAAACATTGACTGCTAATCTTTCATAGTAGATTAACCAATTTAAATTATTATCATATCTCATGGATTATCTTCACCTTTGTATAGATTTTCTATAAAAATATATAACTAACCTATTCCATGTTTTGAATTTATTATGAGAACGTTTAAAAAGATAACCTAAAAAAATAAGGAAGATTTCATTTATAACAAATTAAACCTTTCCTTAATTTACCTTCTTTTGTTGCTTCAACTCCATATATTAATGTACCTGTAATATTTGATAAATTCTGTTGTGAATGATTTCTTGGTAAATGTTCTTTTGGCTAATTGATACAGACAAAAAAAAGAATAGAAATGTTCATTTATGAAAAAGAAATCAATTTTCTCTTACCACAGATAATGTTTCTGTTGATATTCCATCGTTTCGATTATCATCAAATTTCCACTACAATGAAACCAAAAACAAAAAATCAAACATTTTCCTTCTTTCAACAAAAAAAGAAAATAACTATGAGAGAAAGAGCCAAGCAAAAGGTTAAAAGTAAGTTTTCAGTTAGAAAAAAAAAAAAAAGGAATACCCAACTCCACCAACAATTAAATAACCTGTTGAGAATGAGATGATGATAATTTCAATTTAATTGGAAAACATATTATATTGTCTTTTGATGATGACGACTATAAGGTTTATAAAAATGATAATAGTACTATCTGTTTTTTTTTATACTAATTAATCATAAAATCAAGTGAAGTTTATAAAAAGGAAAAACGAATAATTAATCCAATAAACTTACTCTTTTTTGATTAGTATCATGTACTTTTTCTAACATTTTTTGTTTTTGAACATTCTCTTGTCTTATTTTAGTTAACTAAAAAGAAATAAAACTTTTTTTTTTTTTTTTCTATATATTTTATTTAAATAATAAGAAAAAGAAAAATTAATCTTGAAATTTTACTTCTGTTGTAATTGTATTAAAATCTTTTTCAGTATCTATAGATAATAATTCATAACCTTGATGAAAGAATGCTTTATGAAAATTAATATATGATAAAAATAATTCAATTAATTCAACTTTATGTTGATTATATAAAACATTTATTTGATATGTATAATCAATTGATGTATGACCAAAACAACTACGTGTTGCTGTTAAAATTTTACTGGCATCTTCACATATATGAGCTAGAAATTAAAGATAGAATTATTAAATGATGAAACAATACTGTTTTTTTTTCTCTATATCTATGAAAAATCTAGTGATACTAAAAAAACATTCAGAAGTTTTGGTAATAGTTTACTAAAACTTGATTTTGTGAATTTACTGCTTGTGATTCAGTTTCAATAAGTCATTTTTGACTAAGCATAAACACCAAAATATTAATTGTGTCATTATTTATACGCTCTCTATTATATCGCTACTCTCATAGAATAATGAGATTAAGTATTAAAAAAATTGGATCTATACACTCTATTTGAATCGATGAGAATGTACTTTTCGATAATAAAAGAATGTTCAGAGCTTTTATTCTTAAGAGTAATGTCAATAAATAGTACATTAAGATAGTATAATAGACTTCAAGAAGCAAAACTTACTTTGGATAAATAAACCGTTGCAAACTAAAAAAATTGTAATAAATTAGGTGAATTTTTGTTTAAAAATAGGGAGAAATATTTAAAAACTTGTGAAAGATCAGTTTTCATTCGTGAAGTCAATTATACGAATTTATTAACGTTTCTCTAATGAACATTCCTCTGTTATTGAAAAAACACATTCCATTTAATTCAAAAAAAGTAGATATATTCAACTTTTTTTTACTGTGATCTAACCATGAATCACATCTAGAAATATACAAGATCAAGATTTTCTAGTGATTTCAAGAAATCTACTATGATTCTCGTGACTAGGATTAAATTTGATCCCACACATGTTTAGTCAGAGCGACATGAATGTGTTGATTTATAAAAAAAATGAAATAATAGTATATAGTAAAACGATCAAAAAATATAAAAAATACATCTGGCATATCAAATATCAGTCATTGTCTCAATTTCATTATTTAGTCTCTACAGCATCCTACGAGTATTATTTTGTATATCTGTGTCATACGCTTATTATTATTTTTTATATCTGTACCTCTAGGTATAGCTGCAGATATCTGATCTGTGGAATCGAGATTTCTTCGATTACATGATCAAAGAAGAGACTGACTTTTTCGACTTATTAAACTATGTACTTATCTCAAAAAAGAAATAGATTTTATCTCTAAATGTATAATTTATCTAATAATTCTATTGTTGATCTTGATTTGTTCCTTTATATAGTCAAATAGATCAAAGTAGTATATATTACTCATCATTCAAGTCGTTGTTTTACCTTGAAAACTGTGACTTTTCTAATCTATATTGACAAATTTTCTCTATTATCTTCCATATCCAAAAACTTATTTTAGATATCAATAATTCATAAATTGACTAGATAATGTCAATAGTAATGTTTTCACATGGTTCAATAAAGCTCGACAAGCTATACAAGAACATGAATATCAAAATTTTTTAACATATATTTTTGAGAGAACAAATAAGCAAATTCGACTCAAAAAAAAACCATTAAAAATGCATTGTTTTTTTTAACCCCTTTCACTTCATACAAGACCAGGAAACAGCTGATGTATTCTTTCCATTTTATTCTTCAGCACTGTTGAAAACACTTATTTCTCTTATATCACTAACAAAACTTAGTCGCGTTTTACAGTGATGACTATCAAAATCAAAACATTTTTTTCACCAACATTAGACTCGTTGGAGATCATAAGAGTAAAATTGATTGATTTTTTTGTATTGTTTTTTGGCGCTAACACATTTTTATAGAACTTTTTTGAGCTCAGTTTATTGATCTATTCTCTTCATATTATTCCCGAAAAGAAGAATTTGATATGCATGTTTTTGTAGAGCTTGTTGAACTCTATCAAACGATTTAAAAGTATCGCCATTGAGGTTTTTTTTTATGTCGATTTTTGAATTATTAATATTTTAAATAGAATAGAAAATTATTGAAAAAAGCATATTCACAATTCTTAAATACACTAAATATCAGAGAAAAAAAATAGTTGCAGCCCATATTTTAAATATATCATCATTTTAATCACATATTCCCCAAAGTATCCATGAAAATGCCCTAATCATCGGGTTTTTCAAGGACTTCATTCAATCATTATCATCAAAATTACAGTAGTTTTTAAAAGTTTTCATCAGTATAAAATTATCCTTTAAAAAAGAAAAAAGGTAAATATATACTTTGATAGAGTTTGCAATTCTCCATCACTCCATATATTTACTTAGTGTGTCTGGCATCTATTTGTTGCAACAAATAAATGTCAAATAAAATGATCAATAGACAGAATGATTAAAAATTTCATACCCCATCAGAATTTATAAATGTAATATTAAAAAGTTTTTTCTTATAATATATGAAATGATCAAGAATTTTAAGATCTATCAAAATATATATTGACTTCATTTTTGAAATGCTAATTCTATAGTGATGAAAAATTTCAAAAAATATTGCAAAACTTAAAATTCTTAGGAATCTCATAGTAAAACTTCGAACGCTTTTAGACTACGTAATTAAATTTTTTACATGTGTTTTTTTTTTCTTTTGGTTTTGACTTCGGGCAAAGTTACTATTATTCTATAGTAATCAAATAAATATTCTCTATTTTCAATAGATCTAATTTAATCTTAAGTAAGAATTATTTTTCATAGAATATTATAATTCATTTTTACTTACGTTTAGTTTTTGATGCATCAGCATTTTTTTGTAAAGCTAAAATATCGAAAATTTCAAATAGAAAAACAATGTTTTTTTTTGTTTTTATCAATATATAAACATTACCCATATCATAATCTGAACTTAAACGTTCAAATAATTTGCCTTGATCTTTAACTTTTCTTATATCTTCTTTTAACATACGTGTTAATGTTCGTAAAAGGCTATGTGATGTTTGTTCAAGTAAATTCTAATAACAAAAAAAAAAGAAAAAACTTAAAAGTATAAAAAAAAAGCAAAATTTCTTACAGAAAAAAGTGTTTGTATTTCACGTAAATAATTTCCAAATTTTCCTAAACTTTTATAAGCTATTTCATCCGTAGAAAATAATTCACGTACATCAAAAATACATTTTAAAAATTTTCTACAACAAGAAAAATTATTATTTATATTAATTAAAATAATGTTTATTTTTTTTTTTTCATACTGAAATTCTTGTACAAATATTTTTCCATTATTAATTACAGAATTGCACATTTTCAACATTTGTTCTAAACGATCTTCAAGTAGATCAATATGATTAGCTGCTTGTCGAAGTTGAGTTCTATTTTATAAATAAGATTATATTATTATTTCGCATGAACCAAAAAAAGGAAATAACATTTATAATAATAATATACCGATAAGCAGGAGAATCTTTAAGACATTCTTCAAAATCAATTGTATCCATTATAATCATAGGACTAAAAATAAAACAAATGATATCTATCATAAGAATACTTTTGCGTAAAGATAATTTCTCTTTTTCTTTATCTTATGTAATCTAAATGGTTATCGATTCGAGTATAATTGTCACATTAGCTGATGTATGCCGGCAGCTAGTCTCTCTCGTCTTTTTCTTTTTTCTAATGTTTGCTCATCATACAAATATGTATATGTTTAGTAAGAGAGAAAAATGAGTAATTATATAGAAACAAAAGATGAATAGCACATGTTTGTAGAATGAGTGCTTGACCGCTTATGGGCATCAATTTCACGGAAGCTACTTACTTGATCGATCGTACTATTGGAATCAAATGGTAACTCGTCGTCGTCGTATTGACATAGTAGAAAAATAAACGAAATTAAAAAAGAATGATCTAGAGAAACAGATGGTAAATGTCCATAGGGTATTTTCTTTCTATTGTCTTTATCAAAAATTAGCATGTAAACGATGTCATATTATGGCTATGCATATTAATATTCAATTCTTCATCATCTCAATAGACACTTATTAGACATTCTCATAGACATATGATGATAAGACGATGAGAAAACATTCATATTTATATTATTCTATTCTAGAATAATAAAACTCTGATTAAAAGAAAAAAAAAAGTCATCTATTTTTGTATAAACAATATTTAAAAATTAATTTTTATTAAAAATTTTGATAAAAAACAGAGAAAATAATATGTACTAAATAATTTTGTGACAAAAAATTATTCTGTTGTAGTCAAAGAGATGTATAGTTTTTTTTTCTTTTGCTCTTCTAAACTATAAAAATATATATACAGAAATTCAGAATTATATATTGTTGTCGTTTATTATTATTTTTTTTGTTATTTCAGTTTCTTTTTATACATTAAAAAAATAATCTAGAAATAAAAAAAGATAATCAATCTTTTTTTTTTGTTTCAAAATCTCATCGACAGAAAATAAGACTAATTAATTATAAAATCAAAGAACAATATGATTATTTGTTAGAGAAGCCAATAAAGAAAAATAATGTTACATTGTACATGAGTGTAGCTCAAGTGTAATCAAACAAAATATATAAAAAGAAAAAAAGTGTTAACAAAACATGATTCAAAAAATATAAAGTTGAAAAAGACTATATATTGATATATGAATTATTTCTTGTTAATTCAACTATGTACAAATTTTCATGTAATATATTCACTTACAATACTAAACAAATGATGAAATTTAATATGAAAAGCACAAAAAAAAAATCCTTAGTTAGTCTACCTACTTGTTTTTTTTTTGTTTCAAATTATTGAGTCTAATTTATCAATGTCAAAGTGTAAGTAAGTGTTTAGTAATGGTTTTTATTAATTATCTTGATATCATATGAAATTTTTTTTTATCATGAGAAAGAGACCTTATTTTATTTTAGAGTTTTAAAAGAAAAGAAAAATAAAAATAAAACATTTACTGATTCATCGTTTGCATTCATACAAGAATGCTCACGTTCGTATACATGCATGCTTACATACATACATGCATGCATGCAATTTCATCATCATAGCAGTTGGTCGAATTCAAACAAACGACCAGCTGATCTTCGTTTGCCTCTAGATGTCGTCATGTTTCATAATACTTATGTAACTACTGATGGGATTGTAAATTTAAAACTAAACATAATTATGAGTCTTTTTTATAATTTGAATTTATTACTGAATAATCGAGAGTGATGATAGATAAAAAATAAAGTACACTTTAAGCTGTTCGTTTTCGTTCAGTCGTACATGAGGAAAAAGATGATAGTGACGCAGAGGAGCTTTTACACAGTGTCAACTCTTCAGTCTATGAAATATTTTAATATTTATTTTAAAATATAAATTTCATGATCCGAAATATACCATGTTGACATGTTTGTCATGATTTGTGAATATCGGTTGGATTCAACTTTTTCTCTATATGTTATAACATTCATTAAATATCATGTTTCACAAAATACTGAATTGCGATAGAACTCTCTGTAGGATGACATTCAAAACTGCATCGAGTTCTTTTATTATACCTCTCTTTGCTATTTAAAAGAGTAATATATATTATGAGAACCCGTTTGTGTTTTCTTTTAAAATGACGCAGTTCAATATTGTACGTTGTGTTGATCAACGTCGTCATTAGGCCTAGATGTAGCATGCAAATTGTCAGCTGTAATTTTAAAAAAATAACAAGCGAGTTCAATCTTTCATGAGCACGTGAAGTAGACTTTCGAAACAAGGAAATCTCAATTATAATTAAGCAAAATGAAAAGAAAAAAATGAAACTAGAACTAATATTGAAATAAAATATATCGTTTTTCTCATAGCGAACAAGAGGAAAGTAGGATTTCCAATAAAAATTTCATTTGATTATATTTCTCATTTCCATCTCGTTCGTGACATCAAAAAATCTTGTATAATTTTATGACAAGATTGCTTGCTTCATATTAAATTCATCCAAGTAGTAAAGAAAGAAACTCAAATTGCTTTCATTTTTGAGTTAATTGCATTAGATTTCCGCTATCTTAATTAAAACTTAGTGTGCGTGTATGTGTATTTTAAGACAAGTGACTACTTTACTATTCATACACTATCATCATTTTCACACAGCGACTTGTCTAATTGCAGCACATGTATGCGTGTGCTTAAGGAGCACCCACAAGGGAAATGCATCATTTCTTTGTTTTCTCATCCGAATCAACATTTAAGAGATATCTCATTCACTATAAATACCTGTTTCAATTAAAACATAATCGCATTCCACATTGATAATCAAAGCAAAAAGAAAACAATAATATCATACAACCTTATTCACTGCGCTGCAGTGTATGCTATTATTCAACCAACAAAAGCACAGTTCATATTCATTCTAACCTTTCGATTCCTAACTAGTATTATCATTTTATTCGCATTGTCGTCAATAGGCATGGTTTCATTAGGGCAAATAACACATGATTTTACTATTTATGGTTTTATCACTGTGCTAGTCATTGGAACAATTGGTAGTCTATTGAATTTGATAACATTTTTATCTCGAACGTTTCGAACAAATGCCTGTGCATTTTACTTGATTTGTTCTTCTTTGATTGAACTTATTTTCATCAATTTTGGTATTATTTCCCGTTTCGCAACGGAATATTTTGGAAATAATTCAATTTATAATAATCGTATTATTTGTAAAGTACGTTCTTTCTTACCAGTATGCTTACCAATAATGGCTTCAACATGTGTTGTTTTGGCAGCATTTGATCGATGTGTTTCGACATCATCGAATGCACGATGGCGACAATTGAGTTCTCTTTCATTTGCTCGATATATTTTTATCATAGCCATGATCTTCGAACTAATTTCAAGTAGCTTCTTACTCATCGTATTTGATCTTCGCAATGGTGCATGTGTACTACAACCGGGTTTTCAATCCGTAATCGCCATCGTTTATATCGGTGTTTTTATTATAGTTATTCCTCATGGAGGCATGTTAACTTTTGGCATAATGACATGGCTTCATATCAAACAGTCGCGAAACCGCATCGTCTCGATTCAAGGTTCAAGACTTCCGACACGTAGTATTCAACGTACGAACCAACACTTGATCATTCTAACATTTCTACACGCTTTCTTATCTATTATGTTTGTGTCAATACGCTTCATTGCTTTTGCATACAGTATGATAACAATTTCGGTAACGAAGAGTGCCGAACGACAAGGGATAGAATATCTTATTCAACAAGTCAGCGTTTTAATTTACTATATCAATCACAGTATGGCATTTTACATCTATTATGGATCGAGCAGCTTGTTTCGAAAATATTTTCATAAATCACTTAAACGATTGATCAAAAAATTTTTATTATTGTGGAAATGTTGTTGAGTTCATTGATGTTCGTCGGTGTAACGATCAAACATATACAAATAGATGTGTCTAAATAAATTTTTTTTTTCTTTCACCAGGTCGTATTGAAATATATATTAATAATAAAGAAAAATGAATTCAACCTTATTGAAAAATCTTCTTGAATACGCATCATCGCATTTGAAACAAGTTTTGACGCACTTAAAATGAAATTAGTTCATTTTCTAACTGCAGCAGAATTCATCCAAAATCGTAAACGAGTTCCAACGCTCGACATAATTGTAAAGTATTTTCATGCAAGTTGACTACAACTATACAATCTAACTTAGAAAAAAAGTTTATAAAATTATTTACCAAGAAAATATTCGTCATGATAGAAAAGAAAGCTAATACATAGATACAAAAAAAATAAATACAGGATATATAACCATAGTATTTTCTCTTGTGTTTCGCATTCGAGTAAAAGCTGCTGTAAAGAATGTTTGTTTGCAAGTGTAATGATGATTCACGTATATAAGCCAGGATCGATTCAAAAGATATGCTTCGTCTGTAATGTACCATTTATTAGTTATAGGATATCAACATGCACATATGTTCTAATAAAAGCCCTAAAAGTATGTAGAGATTCTATTGATATTTGACTAAACTCTCGGAATTGTAACATGGCTATTTTCTGAACCTTGGATTTTTTGGAAAACTTTTATTTTTGAATTTCACTTCGATAAAGTAATTCAGAAGTTTTTAACAAAGCCTCTTCGAGATATGAAATTTTCAAAAAAAAAAAAATGCATGTTGTAATTCGTAAGTTATGATGATTCTATAAGAAAAAACTTTTTTTCTTTCATATATATTCCAAGACACTCTAGTTCTTTTTTCTTCTTTAATCTCATTTGTTTTTATATTTCATCCTTCGAATCTATTATGCATAATTCTGTTTAATTTAGTAAAGTGTAAGAAGTCATGTATAAAATTCATTTTATTCAATTTTTAAATTCAGTTTGCCGAGACCGACTTATAAACGCTGATAACTGCGTTTCAATCAGTGATATGTGTTTAAACACGTTTGTCAACAAAATTTCTTCATTCAATACTTTTTTCATGGTTCACTGTTAGCAATCTATAATT